GACAAATGCCTTGTACAGCCATTCTAAGTAAGAACTGGAAGGTAAGGTCTGCTTCTCAGATGCTGCATGTCAGCAAAGCATCCCTGAAGCTGTGAAGGCCATTGAAGTGGCAGAGTTGGGCAGCAGAGGATCTGGCCTGCGGCATGCATGTGGATTCCCTTGGATCGTGTGCATTTATTCTGATGTTGTGCCTTTTTCAAAGTCTGCTTGAAGTCAGCAGGTGATTTTACATATTTAAAAAGGTGAATTATACAATCATGTGCGCTGAGGAGCTCATTACTAACTTCTTTTTATCTGTTTTTTATCTGGAAGAAGCTGTTCTTTTTAGCATTGTGACAAATCAGGCTTTCCCTTTGGCATGAATTCTCCAGCAATCTGATAAGGATGTAAGACAACACAGAGTTTTTGTTTGCTGTGGTTTCCTGTGGGGTTTGAGCTGCTCTGAATCAAGCCAGTGTTAAATACAGAATGCATATATGTTCAGAGATAGACTTACAATAGGATTAGAGAGGCCTGTGTGATCACAGTATGGCCCCTGCCTTTGCTCTCAATCTTCTTACAGGCTTTTTCTGTACTCTGGCTTACATTCTGCCTTCCAACTCTTTTCTTACCTCTAGTGTTTATCTTGGGAGCATTTATTCTTTGAATCCTACAGAACCAACATTGCTGGAACTCCCAATAAAGTCATCATGGGTGCTCAACACCTTGGAAAATCCGCTGTTAATGAAGAGATCTTTCCACTGGTAGGCAAAAGCATCGAATGCATGTTCTGTTTAGTGATGTGCTCAACAGACTTGGACAAATCAAACTGAATAAAATTGAAGTGAAAATACCCTTTAGCTTAGTGGAGTCTACAAGAGAACTAAATTTATTGTCCTTTCTCTTCTGGTTTTATCCGTTCACCAACAATCTATTCAGAGAGAGAGGAGGACACTGACAAATACATTGTTTTAGAGAGGATGGAAGGGAGAGGATCTTCATATGTCACTCAAATTCCAGTCTAAATTGTCTGCTTGATTTTTATTAAGTGGGAAAAAACCTACTTGGATGATGTGAAGCACTGCCTTTAAAGCAGAATCTTTTGATTATATTTAGTTTACTGAAATCCATCATGTCTGTGAATATGCCTGGGAGAACTTTCCCTCTTGCTCCAGTAAATAACTCGTTAACAATGCATGCTGCTCTTTGCCCATAAAGTACCTTGAATCAGATGCAAACTAGGAACCTAATATTTTTGCACCTAAGAAAAATGGAGATGGATTCCAAAATCCACATCTGGTTTATGCACCTCATCAGGCAGGGGTGAATCCTGCTCACTGCCAGCAGTGGCCAAGTGGCAAGGCAATCCTCCAAGCATGTATTGCAGCTCGTCAGCTCAGTGTGTTCAGGACATCCTTGAACTTCAGCAACTTTTTCCCCTCTTATCCTTTCATTCCTGTGAGCTGCCAGAAGCACCTGACTTCTGCAGATGGACAGCAGAAAAAACAAGGCAAAGTGGAAAAAAAAACCACATGGAAAGAATGCTGGTGTCTATAAAGAGGAGTGGTAAATTTACACAATAAAGTAGCAGTTTGGAATTAGGAAAAAAAAATTTAGAAATTACTTGGAACTATTTAATCATAATTATTTTTAAAATCTGAAGCAATTACATAAAGCCAGAGTGACCAGGAAGGTTGACAAAGGATTTGCTGAATGTGCAGCTCAACTCAGCTTTACAGAGCAACTCTGAGGCTGGACTTTTCTAGCCATGAATAGCAATGAAAGCCTCTCATATTCCATGGATTACTCAAGATAAGCAATGCAAACACAGTGCATTTCCAGTCCTGTTCAAACCCACAGTCCTCCTTTATTGGCCATTACCTGGGGATCTTGGCAGGCAGACAAACAGCCCACCAGCAGTGTCAGCAGTGAGAGGGCTCTGGCAGGATCTGGGATTGGAGTGTTCCTGCACATCTCACAGAGATGAGATGAGCCTCTGAATACCCCATTGCTCTCTCTGCTGTCTTTTATAGGGCAGGACAGGCTGTGAAATCTCTCAGGTATGCAATGTTTAATTAAAAGGCTCTCCATTCTCCGTTTTTGCTAAGAGAACAGCTCTGTCCTGGATTTTCTCTTTCCATCTGTGACTCAGAGCCTACTTTCTTACTTGTGGGTGTGAAAATATTTTGAAATTAGGTAGCTGCGCAGTCTGTCCAGATACTGAATATTTCCTGTTCCTAACACATGTGATTGCCACACATCTGGGTACCAAGAGAGCTAGGAAATCACCTCCATGGGTGAGATGGGAGGTTTAGAAGATGAAGTTCCAGCAGTTGCTTTCATACCAATTGACTCCATAACCTTGGCACGGCACTTGACTTCATTTGTGACCTGAGGGTAGAGAAATCAACTCTTGTTGAAGCAGTAATATCTTAACTATGTACATTTCTTGAGTGCAGGAGACTTAAAGAGAACATCACCATGAGGACAGATGCCTCAGATTTCATGAAAGTTCAGAATCTGTGATTTCACATTAATAGGTTGACAGAGTAATGGAATTTCATCCTGCATTTTGACCCCAACTGTTGTATTACTCCAAAGATCCCCCTTGTGCCATTAAGATGCAAAACATCATGTCAGGAGTTAATAAATGTGAGCCACACAAATATGAAAACACAGAAATTCCTCAGGTGTAGAGTGACAGGAGTAGTTTGGTAATGGTTTGTGTGAGAACAGCTCTAGGGAATAGATTGTTCTTGATGTAAAGAAGAAAATGAGGACCCAGGTTAGCATTTCTAAGACTCAAGTATTGGATTAACACAATCACAAATATGATTAAGGGCTAAAACCCAGTGTGACTGTTGAATATTTTCTTCACATTATTTCTCTAACCATTATTTGGGATACACTTCAGCAGTTCAATTTTAAGATGTCTTGCAAAGTAGCAGGCTAAATTCCCTTTATATTCAAAATAGGCTCCTCTGGAACATTATTAATCTCACCCAGTTTCAGTGTCTACATTATTATGAGAAGCATCTGACTATAAAAGTGCCAGCCTCTGCCTCTCTCTGCTGAGAATGAAAGTTTGAGGCAATTACTGTGCCTGTGGGGGGTCCATTGCAGGTATCTGACATTAAGGGAGAAAAAAAATCCCTATCTTCTTTCAGCTTTTCCATTACACAATCTCAATCTACCCTACGAAGTAAAATACTTGAAAAATGAGCACCCCAGGAGGAACTGTAGAAGGGACATGAAACCTTCAGGATAGTTTTGGGTATGATGGTTAAACAGTCTTGCTTTGTATCAATATAAACATGACATTAATTGAGGACTTGAGGATTTGGTGACCAAAGAACTCCCACCAAGAGAGATAAAAGTATTCTGGAAAACTCCAGTCTTTCCTTGTTTGTCAAAGACCTGTTTCCAGAATCAGACAGTGATGAATGACAGAGTTTGATTCTTGCAAAGGAAACCCATTTGCAGATTTTTGCTTCAGTGGGCATGCAAGCAGCTTTCCTGCTTTGCAGGGCAGGTCTGGAAATCAGACCCAAGCATAATAAATTTGTTCAAGCCATGGGAGTCAAGCAAACAATTAGTGACACCTGTGCCTGTTGTCTGGTGTTTGGAAATCCTTTGTTTCAGAGTTTAGAGGGAGAAGGAGAGCTTTATGCCTGTGTCTGGGCATGGAGTCACCAGACTAGTGATGGCATCCATCCTTCTGTATTTTCTTCTGCTGCTGAGCAGAGATAACATGATGGAAAGAACAAAGCAGATTCAACTTTTCTGCATTTTTCCCTGCTTTTGTCAGATTTGCAAGAGTTTTTCTGCTACCCACTCACTGGTTTTTAGGACACTTGATATAATATATAATCTCATACTGATAAGGGAATTGGCTTATCCAGATCTGGTAGGTCATACTGGCTCTATGAGGGTGCACAAGTGTGGCCTAAAACCCACATGAATTGAGAGTCTGAACCATGTACAGTATCTTCTGCTGGCCTAAAAGAACATTTTTATGCTAACAAACAAAATATGAGGTAACAAACTTGAAACCTCTAAGGAGCAATTTTCTTCTGACCAACAGCAAGAGAAAAGTGAGAAAAGATCAGTGTTCAAATCCTCCTACCTCTGTGAGTCGCAGCAAACCACCATTCCCTTAAAGATCCATGTGAGAGCTCTGCAAAAATTTCAAAGCACATTTCAAGGGGAAACACACAAAGGAGTGAGCCAGTGGCTCTTTCTAATACTGCTTTGAGGAATGATTTCCACCCTTATGTAAGTCTGCTACCTCTTTGGATCAGTTTCTCTGTAAATTCATAGCAAACTCAGTCTATCTTGGTCAGAAATGAGTGTTTGCACTGAAGCTTTTTACTTTCCTTTTGGGATGTAGCTTCTGTGGAAAGCACATTGATGTTTTAAAGCCTTTTGAAATGGTTGAACATTTCCTGCAGTTTGCTGCTTTTGCACCATCTGGTACCTGAAATCTTCTCATCACCAAAGAGGTTTTAGAAGGCATAATGCAGCCACATTTGTCATTCAAACTAGATGTGATGAGGTCAGTCTTGGGAAACAGGATTAAAATCTTTGAGTAACCTTCAGATTCTTGCAGTGTGTGTTTAGTTCTTCAGGCCATGCCAGCCAGTATTTAATTGCTGCCAGGAGTCCTGGTCATGTAGCCAGTAGGAGAACATTTAGCTGCTATTGGTGATGGTGTCTCTCAACATTTGTCCATTGTGAAGTGAATTAACAGTCTCCAGGCCTCAGAATAAGTATTTGGTCAAATTTTGTGTTGTTAGGCTCTGGCCCAGCTTGAGAGAGGTGTTAATTCCCGTGCAGGTGTGCAGTGCCCCACACCAGTCCTGCGGCGTGTGGCTGCGCTCTCTACCCCGTCCCTCTCTACCCTGCTCTGGCTTTTCCATCTCACTGCACTGGATTAGAGAATCTCATTTTACCAGCCTGCAAAGCAGGGCCTGGGCTGACAGGATGGCTGTAAAACCTTGTGCTGCTCTCATTGTTCCCAGGGCAGAACCCGCGCTCACCCGCATCAAGGAGGATCGCAAGCGGATCATCCTGCCCGCCATCGACAACATCAAGTACAACACCTTTGAAGTGCAGCAGTACGCCAACGCCGCCCACGGCTACAACTGGGGGCTCTGGTGCATGTACATCATCCCACCACAGGACTGGCTGGATAAAGGGGATGAGTCAGCTCCCATCAGGTAAATCTCCCCCGTGCTGTCCCTTTGGGCCGAGTGGCGTTTCCGTCTCGGCTGTCTGCCGAGGGGGAATTTAGGTGAGCGAGGCTACAGGCTTTGTGCAGGAATTACAAAATGAGCCTGGAGAAAACTGATGGCTCCACAAAAGCTGTGGATGCGTGTGCTGCCTCTCGGAGCTGCCCCACAATGTACATGAGTACTCTGGCTCTTGGCGTGTGCTTCAAGTTTGTGATCTGGCCATTAGTAGGATAGCAGGATCCTTTTCATCTAACCTTTTATTTTCCAGTGGATTCTGACC